CTAATTTTTATGCTCAAAAGTCAATAAAAGAGAGAGATAAGAGATGAGGGGGTACGGTGAAATCCTTAAAGATTTCTTTATGCCGTTTGAAAAAAAAACGAAAAGAATGTCCACCATGAAATAATACAAGGAATTAGGGTTCTATACGGAATTTTCCCATAAAACCATTCTCCCATATATATGCTTACTATAATAAGATATGTTCTTCTATTTTTCTTTTATCATTTTTATAAAATAAAGTCCTACTAAGATATTGGTTTCTTAAAATCTTGTATAAGGAGATTCTCTATTTCTCTACTCTTCAAAAGTTTCCATAAAATACTTTTTATGCTTTTCAAAAGTTTCCATAAAAAACTTCGGGAAAATATCTCTTTATCCCCTATTTTTAACTTCCAAATCTCTTGAAACCCAAGAATTGAAAATATTACTTGTAAGCAAAATGTCTCTATCTTTTCTATCTTACAACCCCCTGGACCCTTTGATTATAAATTTTTTACCCAAACAAACACTAAAATGACACCCTATTCAAACTCCATCTCTCTCTCTCAAACTCCATCTCTCTCTCTTCACTTCTAGGTGAGTTTACCGGCTAAGGGGTTTAGCTTGAGCTCGAACACGAGTACACCTTCTTATGTGTGAGAGAGAGATATGGAGTTTTAGAGAGAGAAAGAGATGGAGATTGAGTTTTAGGGAAAGAGATGGAATTTGAGAGAGAGAGAGAGATGATGATGTGAGAGAGAGATAGAGTTTGGATTTTAGAGAGAGATGGAGTTTAGAGAGACGATGATGTGAGAGAGAGATGGAGTTTTAGAGAGAGAGAGCGATAGAGACATTTCATAAGTTGTTGAAGTCAATAATACGTGATCAAAAGGGTTTAGGGGGTTGGAAGATAGAAAAGATGGAGCCCTTTTGCTTACAAGTAATATTTTCAATTCTTGGGTCTGATGAGATATGGAAGTTAAAAATAGGGAATAATAGGATATTTTCCCAAAAACTTTATCTAGTCTTCAAAAGTTTCTATAAAAATCTTTCATCTCTCTTAAATTATCTCATTCTCTCATCCATACTCTCTCTCTCTTTCTCAAAATATCTCTTAAAATCTCCCATTCTCTCTCTCTCTCCTTCTCAAAATATCTCTTAAGATATGGGAACAATCTCTCTCTCTCTCTCTATAATTTAGATATGGAAATAATGTTGAGATTTCTTTCTTGTGTGTACTCGTACTCTCTCTCTCTCTCTCAAATTTAGTTATCCTAAAATAAATACCTATTCTATCTCTCTTCCTCTAAAGATAGGAATGTCCTACAATCTCTTTAGAATTAGAGACCTTTCTTATTTTTGTGTGTTCACCACTGAACTCTGGCTTAATAATGTAGTATAGATTAATGTTTAGTGTCATCAAGAGTTGCTTATATAATGTCTGGAGTTGATTTATATTGATGAGCAAAGTATGGTGTGCAATCTATGCACAAGTTAATGTGCAAAGACGTGTATTTTTGCTTTTCTATGAGTACTGTGCTTGATTTTGTGACTTGGGACTCTATAAAGTTGTAAATCTTTTATTTTCGGGATATTTGAGTATTTGTAAGTTCAATTTTGTGGCTGCAACAATGAGTAAGAGTTGTGTGACTTGTATTTGCAAGTGTTGCTTGTAAAAGTTCAAGTTGATTACCAAGTTCAAGAGTTGTAAAAAAAGTTTCTTAGACTCAATCACTTTCAAGATTACTTTCAAGATTACGTTTTAAGTATAGTAGTTGTTTTTTGAAACACTTGAAATCATATTTCATTATTTGGTTTCGATGCTTATTCTTGAGTGAAAGGCCATGCATTGGATATCCCTATTAGTCTCTCACTCAAAGAAAAAACGAAAACAAAAAAAGTGCTTGGGTTTGAATTTCTAATGTCCAAACTGAATTGTGTTTGTTATTAGTAAAAGGGCGGTTCGGATGTCTAAACCGATCTTTCACTCAAAAAAATCTAGTGCTTTAGTTGTTCTTCCATTCAAAAATAAAAAACTTTAACTCAGAGATGTCTGAACAAAAGATAAAATGAAAATAAAATATACAAAAATTGACTTGAGCATAAAATTAGAAAAACTATATGAAATTTTTTTCAATTTAAAAAAACTAGAGAAAATAATATATACATCCTTTATATTTAGCGTTATTATGGAATTACCATGAAGTTTCTATTATTATATGTATACCCGTTTTTTCAACTTCATAATATTTTTTAAAAAAGATAGAACTTTGACTTTTCTAGTTTTAAAAAACAGAAAACTATCTTTATGTTTTTTTGGAAAACTGACTTACTGGAAAAAGAGACATATTTTTGGTTTTTGAAAAACAAAAATTGTTGTGTTTTTAATTTTTCAAAAACTGAAAATGGAATATTTTTGGTTTTTCAAAAAATCGAAAACTATCTTTCATTTTCTAGTAACTTATTGGAAAATATACCAGAAAGAGATAGATTTTTTGGTTTGTGAAGAACCAAAATTGTCATGTTTTTAGTTTTTCAAAAATAAAAACTATCTGTCATTTTCGACTAACTTACTGTAAAATTTATTGTACAGAGACTGATTTTTGGTTTTTAAAAAACCGAAATTGTCGTGTTTTTAGTTTTTCAAAAACCGAAAAGTATTTTTCATATTCCAGTAATTTACTAAAAAGATTATTGGAAAGAGACATATTTTCGGTTTTTGAAAAACAAAGGTTATCGTGTTTTCAATTTTTCAAAAATTGAAAATTAGATATTTTTGGTTTTTTAAAAACTAATGACCATCTTTTATTTTCCCGTAACTTACTGAAAAATTTATTTGAAAGAGACAAATTTTCGGTATTTTGTAGATTTTCAAAATCTGAAAAGTTAATACTCTTTGATTTTTTCAAAAACCAAAAAAGCTAATTTTCTGGTTTTCAAAAAACCGACAAGCTAGTTCCATCTTTTGTTTTAAAAAAACTTATGATATGTAATAACAAGAACTTCATACTAATTCCATAATAACCGGATGTATGCATTATTTTCTCAAAAATCTAATTGCATTTTGGTGAAAATTTCCCTAATTTTTTTTTGAACTTGTTATGCCGAATTTATGGTTCCACAGCTTCCGGTTGTCTCGCGATACCCTCTACGGCGTGACCCGCAGCTGTACCTTTACCGATCCCGGGTCAAATGGAAGCAAGTCCTACGGCCAATCCAGCAGCACTAATGGAAGCAGCAGAAATCAGGGGATTCTTTAGGGATGCTGACGGGGAAAATTTCCCTACTTTGTTTGTCATACTTGTTCATCGAATGGGGCACGTCGTACTAGGTCACTGCTGGACAGAGGGTCCTCTGACGTGGCTTTTCGTCATTATCCCTTGAGTCCGCGTAAAAAAGAGCGGCATTTTGCACGTTTTCTGCAACTTATAATCAGTAGATTATTCCTCTGATTGGAAGTATTGAGCTTGTCAATTTTGCAGATTCTATTCATTTGAGTGGCAGAGAGAGAGACATCATGGACATGGCTTCAAGGATTGTGAGTTTCATTGGATTGGACCAGTTGAGCCTGGATATGGCTTCTCTGCTTGTACGCTCAGGATTCCTAGTCCAGGGATATGAAGTAGGTCAAAGTTCTTGCTTTCTTTTTGCTTTTTCTGAATATTATGAAGTAAGTGTTTTTTTTTGGGCTGATTTCTGTTATGTGAAATTGCAATGTAGTTTTGGATCGTTTAAACCTTTTTGGATGAAAGAGATTGATCTTTGTTTTGGTTATTAATGTGTCCTGTGTGGATCGGATGCTGTATGTACTTCTCTCTCTCTGTTCTCTTTCTCTGTGCATTGGAGGAGAGCGCAAGAGGAAACTCACTTGTACTCGCCCTTTCAAAATAAAAACAATATCTGAAAATGCACTTTGTTTTCAGAAGCACAATCTGTGGGTTAGTTGTTTGGATGTAACTACTTTATTTTTAATGCAGTCAAATATTTCCTCAAAAAAATAATAATCTGGGAGTTAGTAATAGTTGTCATTGTTGCCACATTACTTTTGATGGTTGTTGGAAAGATTATTCCTGACTTAATGACAACATTGAACGGAAAATCCAAAAGTAGAAAAATAAGGAAATTCAGGAGAATTCATCTAAAAAAATCTAGAGTAATGAAGAAGGGTGAACAGAAAGCCTAGTGATGCATTTGTGTCATAAATTTGTAGGAATCAGGTTAACTAACAAAAAATTCAAAAAGAAATGGTGAAAGTCTTGTTATTGTCATATTCTCAGTAAATTTCGTGCCATTTTTTTTTATCTTGTTTTGCTTTCAATTTATTTCAGGATCCGATATTAAGCGTATTATGATGGATAACTAATGATATTTATGCAAAATGAAAAAAAAAAATCGATAAATAAAGATTGGATTATATGGGCAACTTATAACCAGACGAAATCGAATCATGATTTTATATTATTTTTTTGCATGGAATGGCCTGCCATGAATCTCAAGATGCTATATGTTAGAAAAAACATGAATGGTTTCGTTCCCTAGTAGTGGTAATAGCAAATATAATGAAGATAAAGTGGATGTGTAGTTTTTTAGTGATAAGGCTCACAATTTGATCAGGGTGATTTTTGAAAAGAATAATCCACTTAGGCAGACAGTACTCATTCGGTGGGATTGCAAAAGTTCTTTGATTTCATTTATATGTGCACTTTTAGCTAGTATTGGCAAGAAGTTAACTTCTTAATGATAAATAAAATATTACAAGATGAACCCTTTTGTGTATGGTTAAGAGATGGATGGGGGATGGAATATTCAAAGTAACAAATGCCAAAGAGTAATCTGCTTCTCCTTTGTAAAAAGAGTTATTTACTATCTCTTATAGAACTCTTGTTATATATTAGTTTTCAAATAATGGGGAAGTTAATTTTTTTCTGCATCTAAAATCAATTATATCCCAAAGCTATGATTTCAGATGCGCCTGTTTATGCAATTTTTTGTTTCTTATGGTTGTTAATTGAGCTTCTTTAAAGTCTTCCTGGGCTTCTATATGATGATACACTGCCTACAGGTTTCTAAGCGCATCATGGAGGAGTTTTCGATGTTAGGAGGAGTTGGCTTTGCTTGTCCTATGGAGGCAGGAAGAGGTAATTTTCTACTTGTCTAATCTTCCCCAGCTGCTATTTTGGCATCTATTTGTGTTCGGTTAAGTAAGTTTATCATTATTCATTGGATGGATGCTGCGGAGACGGTCTTTTGTAATCGTCCCAATGAATCATTTTGAAACTTTTGATGTAAAGGCTTAAAAAAATATGCCAAACTAAGTACCCCTTTAGCCCTGACTTTTGTAGTGGAATTTGACTATGTTATGATGACCCATAGTTTCTATGTACTCCAAGGACTACTGTATTCACTCTAAGATAAGCATCATGATGTGGACTATATGATAATGATTGTTAGTGATCTAATAGTCTTTTGAACTATATATCGATGACCAGTAATTGCACTAAATGCAATCGAGTTGCAAGTAGTTATTATGTTAGCATATGCTAGTCTGTTCATCATGCGATTCATGTCAAGCCTGATTAGAGTGGCATTTCCAGATAAAGTGCTACTTATTGTTCTAAGCTCCATTTTCTCTCTATAGACGTAACTCTCTTGAAAGTTATGTTGGCTGTTATATAATTTGCCTATTATGATTCTATGATCATTTCACATACAAAATAATCGAATCTATTTTCAGTTTCAGGTGAGCACTATGCGTTATGGATATATTCACATGTGGGCTCCCTAAAAGGCCACATAGCGTGAATGGAAGAAAATTGGGCACTCCCTTTGTTATGAGTGAAAAGTTTTTGAACATGTGAGCGAATCCCTTTTCTAATCCAGCATTAATTAGCTGGGTAGTTAAGGAAATTTTGTATCTCATTATCACTAAATCTGAAGTAGCTCATGTAGTTCATAGGATCCATCTGATTGAGATTGGTTTGAGGTGGCATCTTCTCACTCTGCTCATAGGATCAAACAAGTTGTTTAATAATTCCATGATGAACAGTCATTCATTTGTTGATCACATCATTATGAAAGGTGGCAGTGCTTGTTTTGGTTTACAACTTACCTCAAGTTTCTGTATTTTATGAATGCACCAGTACTTTCTATCAGTGTTTAAAAACTTGTCTACGTTTTGACTCACTCGAGTCAATTTGGTTTGGGCATCTGGCAAAATCACGGTTAGGTTTAAAAAACTTGGTGCCAAATTTGAGCACTTAGCATCCCATTTTCTAGCTAGGCTTAGCTGAGTCTTGTTGAAACTCAGTATGAGATGACTTGTTAAGATTGGGCTTGGGGCCAGGCCAAGTCCCTATCCCAGTCAGAGTTTCTAATCTCTATGAACAATATGAAATGCTCTATTCTTTCTAAATCTAGTGTCCAAGCTCAGTATGAACGTTTACCTTTTATGGAGATTTTGCTTGGCTATCTCTAATGTTATATATACTTTAATCATATTTCACTTGTTTATGGTCCTCATTGATGCAGATTTTCATTTTCCAATGAAAAGCTATTTTTCCAGACGGATCATTCTAGCATTAGATTTTAGCATCTCCTCATGAAAGGGTTGGTGAGAGATTGACTCATATATTCCTTTTGATCAACAAACTGTTACTTATTGACCGTAAAGTTTCTCTCAAGGGGAAATGCTTGGCTCTAGTGTTCTTGAAAGGGCATATTGTCTTTTTATCATTTGATAATTGTCTTAATATTGTTGTGTAGTTTTGCCATGCGGCTTCAAGGTGTACAAGTACACATATTCATGTTGCCCAGTATATGAAGTTTACCGAGAGCTATTTTATTGTAGTCAAGTTTTCTGAAATGTTAAGGTTGTTGTAACCATACACCCTAAGTTATCATCTTGTCATGGTCTGAAGCTTTGCTTCTGTATTTCCTCCCATTGAGTAAGGAATCTCTTTCGTTTGTCAGCTTTTATTTTCTATGGTTTCTTGAGTAAGTTCAAATTGTATTTGTGCAGGTGCTGCTGTGATTGTGGTCCTGATGCCTAGTGAGGAACAAATAAATGATGTCCTGTTTGGAACACTGGGATCCCTGCAGGGTCTGTATATGTTATTTGAATTAGTAGGATAGCCATGTCAGCTGCATGGGCATACATTCCTTCTTTTCTGTAACATGCGAGTGGTGTTATGCAGTTATGCCTCGTGATGCCGGTGTTATACTTCGTTCTACAGTATCAGCAACCTATATTCAAGAGTTAGAGAAGCGAATAACAGGCAATTACAACTTTATCTCATTATCATTTTCTTAGGTTTTCAATGTGGTGGGTGTTTATTATGATTATTCAAGTCATACACTGTGTAGAATGATATGGTGCTTCTCCATAATGCCATCTTATACTTGGTCCAATGTATCTTAATTGCTTGATGCAACTCTGAAGTTTCCTTGGTGAAGCTCCTTTTCTGTGGTTCAACAGTGCCATGCACATGATTAGGTCAAATCTGGGGGTTTCTAGGACATTTTGGTTGGTTCTCAAAGTATGTTCTAGGAGAAAGGGATATTATTTTTCTTTATTTTGTGACACTTGTACTTATCCTGTGATACGATACACAAATCGTGAAACTGTGGAGAGGTTTATTAGGGCTGTATTTTGATGGATATTTTTTTGAATGATTTGAATGAGGTTTGGTAGTCGAAAGCTCCTACATCAAGCGTCGAATTGGAGACCTCCTCTCCAGGGCCAATTAAAGCTTAACTTCGATGGGTGCTCCTTTGGAAACCCCGGGCCTTCGGGTATAGGTGTGATCCTCAGAGACCATTCTGGCTCAACGGTTGCCTCCATCTCAAAAAATATCGGTCACACTGACTCTATGTAAGTGGAGGCGATAGCACTATTGGAAGGGCTCAAGCTTCCTGGACCACATCGGGTAGAATTCATTATAATAGAGGGAGATTCCAAGAATGTTATTACTTGGGTTACCAATTCCTCCCCCATTGGTTTTGGCTCATATTTTTGATGAGATTAACTACCTTTGCAGGGATATACATGTTTTATGGAGGCATACTTGGAAGGAAGCAAACCAGGCAGCAGACACTCTAGCTAAAGAGGCTGCTACGTTGGGTGATTTATAGGATTGATGTTTTGGATTGGCATCTTTTTGTTGGTTTCTTTGCCTCGTTGTTAATGTAACTTATAAAAAGATGACTTTTTGATTCTTCTCTCTCACCCCCTTTTCTCGGAACGGTTTTTTGTACTTAGAGCTTCCGCCCTGTGGATAGCCTATACTTTGTGGTTCGTTGTACTCTTTCATTCATCAATTAAAGGTTAACATTCTAAAAAAAAGAAAAAAAAAAAAAGCGGTTTGATCGTATGAGACAAATTACTTAAAATTTTACATGGGGAGGTTTTGCTTTGTGTTGCATACTATATGGTGGTTGAGTTGGGACATAGATAAATTAGTTGTGTTTACCCCGAACTATGAACACGATCTTGATTTCTTGGAATTGGTGTGAATGATTATGGATCATGACATTCGCGGTATGAAATCTAACATGGGTTGTGTTTCTTGTCATTACTCTACTTATTCTTTAAAATGAGCATCCTAAGTTTTTTTTTTTGAGTAAATGAACTGTTCGAAAATGAACTGTTCTTAGGTTTATATGTTCATATGTGAATTCACAAATATGAAATAGGATTCCTGGTTCATATTCTTTTTTTAACGAATGTTACAGGGACATTGATGTGAGTGTGGTGTTTAGTATTTCTCGGGGAGTGTCTAGTATGGCAGACCAAAGACCCTGTGCTTCCTGGCATGCTGTATGGTTCTTCGTTTTTTATGAATTATGTATTTTATATAAAATATTAAAAATCAGAGTGCAATTATCTTTTAGAAGATTATTTTCTCCTTAAGTTCCTTATATTTTTATTTTTCAAGTTTCGTACATCAACTCCTAGTGTCCCAGGTGTTTAGAGTGTTTGGCGGTTTAAAGCAAAGATAAGAGAGGTTGAGGGTTCGATACCCATGTGTGCACCCACCATGAGGTTTTTAACCTTTATATAAACATATGTATTTCACTATCATCTAAGGTGCATAACCTGCGTGCTAGAGTGGACTACTTATGTAGTGAGGTATTGGGTTTGAACCCTGAGGGGGGCAAACCTTATTGAGCTCTATTTTCTAATTTAAAATGCCGGGATACTTCATGTTGACAAACATGGCAGTTCTATAATATGTGTTGGACACATATTAAGGAGCAATGAAATCCCCAACATGTATCATGTATGGTCATGTTGTCTATTATGTCGGGATGTATCTTCAAGTACACAATAGGGAAATTGGGGGACTCGTGGAGCACTGTCTTTATCTATCCCTTTCTGTTGCTTAAGTGCTATTTGCCCGAGCTGGGAATATTTGGTTTGTTTGTTATAAGATGGTATTTCCATTATCTTATGTATATTAAAACTTGGAAAGGAAATATGAGCATTTTATCCTGGTCTTCTATGATGAGGCTGTTAATCACCCTGTATTGAATTTTGTTGGATAAGACTGCTGTCAGAATTTTTATTTCTGGTGTACTTACCATAAATTAGATACTTCTTTAAGGTGAAGGTTTCTGCTTGCTTTTTTACTGAAATAATGTTTCAGATAATTTATTTTATCAACAAATTTGTGTTAATGTGCAGTGACATGTGTTTCCTTCTCCAAATGTGATGTATTTCTTTTATTCTCGCAGAGGCAGGGAGCTTGTTCCTTGTAGATGTGCATGTTCTTCAGAGCGTTTCTGAAGATTCGACCGGAAAAATTATTGTGAGATAAATTTTCTATTTCACTAATGTGGATACCCTATTGAGTGCTGCACATTTGGCTTGATTACAACTCTGATTGCTGGATGGAATCATTTTAAATTAACTAATTTAGTAATCTACAGTTCCAGATTGATTACATTCCTATATACTTCTGTTTGATCTTTTCAGGTTACTGCTTCTGGAAAATCCAATGCAATTGAAAAAGCACGACCTGTCCTTTGTGGTAAGTCTCAAAATTCGCTCTTGATGCATTACTTTGAAGTGAGGTATGAAAGATGTTTGAAATGGTTTTTAAAGATAGGGATTTCTTCCATTTTATTGATAAAAATATGGGCCATCTGAACAGCAATGAGTGAAAGGCTGTACGTTTTGGAGGGAAGAATTGGTGCTAGCAGGTGCCGTATCTTCTTTTCTTTAGAAGATGTATAAAATGAACTTTCCTGTATTCCATTTTTCCTGCATCTAAGGTCTTTTGAATATTTGATCACTTGCGAAGTCCTTTCATGTCTTACATTGTTTTTTGTCTGTGAACCACATGGTTATATGCTTTTCATGTGGGTGCATGTAGGTTGATTTAAGTATCTCATTTCTTGACATCTCGCTTCATAGAATTTCATTCATATCCATGAAGCAGCATTTTACATAAAGAGTTATTCACTCACTATCTTCATGCACAATATATTAGAATATAGCTTCTTGGATCAAAACAGGAATAAAATCTTGAATGGGAGCAATGAGTTATAAGAAAAAAGAGGAGCTGAATACCTGGTATTCTGAGTCTCTCCTGAGTTACCTTCTAATCATCATAGAGGATTCCTAAAGAAAGGGATACATGAGCACAATGTTGCTCCTTATCTTTCTTAATATAACATTGCTTTTTTTTTTTTAGAAGCTCTGGTGAGGTTGGCAGGTCGTGGAAATCATAATAATTTTTCTGGCATGGTTCCTCTAAGTCCCATTCTGATTTGATATATTTAACTTTCTATCTCTTCTATTTTTGAGAGGCTGGATTGGTTTGGTTTCCATGAGGTATATATATTCAAGTCCATGTGAGTTACATGGAATGCAATGGGATAGATGGTAGTGGGCTGCCT